AAGAGAACATAGACCTCTCATGATCGAAGGATATAATAACTGGTGCTTATATATATAACAAAAATACACTGATGCCTTAGAACGACTTAACATCCACGGCACCTTGCTTTCATCTATTGGAGTTTACCACATTGACTTTCAACTTCTGTAATTTTTTTTAGAGTGTTAGGATAAATATCATAATGTATATATGCATATATACATATGTATATACATACACAAACACACGCGCGCACACACACACACACGTGTGTGTGTGTGTGTGTGTGTGTGTGTGTGTATATATGTGTGTGTGTGTGAGGAATGGGTATGCTTGGTACCAAGCATAAGTTTTTGTGTTTGGTAGTAAGGTGGTATATTCCCCTCCACTCATTGAAATCGGGACCCACATTCACATGGGTTGAGGAGTGGTTGGGAATTGGAATGAGTGGAGGAGAATATGCCACCTCACTACCAAGCATACCAATTTCTCTCTCTCTCTCTCTCCCTCTCTCTACACACACACACACGTATACATATATACATATGTAAATATGCGTATATACATATGTATGTATGTATATATATACACATACATACATATATGTGTATACGTACGTATATATGTATGTATGTATACACACACACACAGATACATACATACATACATGTGTATATATATACACATACATACATACATACATACATACATACATACATATTCATATATACATATGTATATATACATATTAGCGAATTGAATTTAACCAGATGTGTATTCGATTTGTTTGGTTATTTAATATTTATTTATGTTCTATATTTATTAAATTGTAGATTAGACATTTTCTGAAAAATTTTAATTAGTTTAATTTGAGACATAAACTTAAATGAACAAGACAATTTAGAGGATAAATTAAACAATTATGATGCCTCAGAGGGCATATTTATAAATACATGCAGCTGATGGGTGTTTATGCAAAAATCTAGGAAGAATTAGAAAGATAAAAAATGTGACCATTATAGGGTCCAAACTAAGGACGTGCAGTCTAGAGCAGTCTAGAGCTTGATCACCTAACAATGTGGGCTACTGAACATTCATGAATGTTTAACGAATAGCTCATATTTATAACAACTCGAATATGAATATCTTTGTGATATTTTGACTCGAAGTCGATTTCTAATATTAAAAAAATCAATCGATTTTGAATTCGAATTCGGCTATGTTCACTTTGGTTAGGTCATTTCCTACCTCTAGGTACGGGGTAATGAATTTTTCAGAGCTCGGCCCCGCTCATAATGTCACGCATACCGTTTTCATGCACGTTGTTCCCAAATGATCTGCATTAATTTTGTCATCTTAGAGATAAAACTTTCCCAAGTGAATCGTGAGTCAATCACATCATACAATTTTAAAAGTAATTTAAACGATACATAAAAAGAAAGTATAACCGAGAAATTTTGAAACATTGGGTATCAAATGATCAAATTTAAACATCAAGGTACCAAAGTGAAAAACTGGGTGAAGCTCTAGGTAGAAAGTGCAAATAAACTTTTATTTTTAGAACTTCCCAATGTTTCACGGTGAACGTAATCTAATTCCTTAAGTGGTGACCAGACCGTAGCTCCACCCTGGTTTAGTTACCCTACTGGAGGTGAGCGTATCCCTTCGTCTCTCACGCTCGATCGCCGCGATGCTCGCTCCGATGGCTCGCCTCGCGTCCAAGCGGCTCTCCGAGATCCGCCAAATCTTCCGACCACCTCTTCAGGTCTCTTATCTTTCATCTCCTTTGCATAAAACCCCTTGAGTCATCTCAAATCTTACTTTTACCCCTGTAATCCTCTTTAATTTCTTAATTTTGTTTCAGGCCTCGAGCTTTGCAGGTTCGAGATCTTTATCCACTGCTCTCAACTACGTAAGATCTCTACTTTCTGATGGGTTTTGATTCTGAGCTGGCGAAGTTTTGTAATTTTCTTAATTTTTTGGGGGTTTTGTTGCAGCACATTGATTCGCCGGATAATAATCCTGATACGCCATGGGAATTCAGCGAGGCCAATAAAGAGAGGGTACTGCCGTTCAAAATCTTATTTTTTATGATTTTTTAAAAAATTATTTAGTTTATAATTTTGTAGTTTAGTTGGTAATTTACTTTTTTATTTGTTTAATCCTGCTTTTATTTGATCTAAAATAATAGAAAGTAATACTAGCTATCAGCACAATTCCTAACAGTATGTCAATCCATATGTTTCGAGTGTGTGAGATGTATAAGAATTGCATTGGATAATATACACTTTGATAACTTTTCCTGCATTACATGTCTATTGGAGATTCCAAGCTGCCATTGTTTATACTGTTAACTGGAGAAATAAAACTGTCTATGTTTTCGTTTGCTGATTGTAGGCGAAGGAGATATTATCCCATTACCCTTCCAACTACAAGCAGTCTGCTGTAATTCCTTTATTAGATCTTGCCCAACAACAACATGGAGGATGGCTGCCTGTATCGGCAATGAATGCGGTATGTCAAGGGAAGACTTATTAAGGATTTTAAAACTTACAATGTTTGTGAATTAAGCATTTCATTTTGTGCTGCCTTTCCATTGATCTTATTATATTGCCATATTATGTGAATTACCCAAAAAGAAAACAGTGGTCTGATATACATTAGTGGTCATTTTTCTTTATTCAAAGTGCATCAATTTGCTCTTTGATGAACGGGCAGGTGTGAGGACATATTATGAGTTCTTCAACACTGCTTGACAAAACGGTTGTTTTTTAAACTCTGCACTAGAAACGGTAATAGTCTCTATGCTTGTTTGGACATGCCAATGTACTTCTTCAAATTATAAGAAAAATTCTTTGATTATTCTCCATTGTGGATTGGACTTCTCTGTGGAGCATGTTTGGCATATGGTCAAACTAGACTATAATCAACAAGAGTGTATTATAATCCACTTCTGGATGTTTAGCAAGTGGATTATTTTCAATTACAATCCACTGAAAAGTAACTAGGGTACTAAGGTTATTTTTTGGTTGATTATAATACATGAGGTTTGAACAAGTAAAAGACAATTATACCTCTTATGATTCCACAAAATCCCGAATCTCATTTTATAACTCACCACCAACCCATGTTTGTTTTTGTCATTTGATAGATTACAAGGCACCAATTTGCGAAACACTCTACTATTGAAAATTGATTATAATCCACCAAATTTACTGAACACTCTGAATTATAATCCACTTGTGTTAAGTTCCCTAAACATGCTCTTAGTTCAAGCCTTCAAGGTTAAGTTAGATAATATCTGTGTCTGTATATTAATGTACGCATAGGGATAACCAAGTTTTGCGATGTTCCTTATGTAAAAGGCCGTAGCAATCACATGGGAATTTACCGTCTCTTTTTATTCATAAAAGTTCATCACTGAGCAATGATGTAGTTTGAATTTGGGCCATGCTGGTGGCATGTCTTTTTGGGTGGAAAGTTCAGATCTATCTGCTTGAGAATGTGTTTGTCCGTATGTGTTTATATATGTAGATGCCATATGTTTGGTTGTGTATGCCCATGTTCGGATGTTTCTGTGTTTGCACATCTACAAAACAATATGTAATAAAGATTGATATATTTGGTTATATTTGTGCATTTGTGTGTGTAGGAGTGAGCTGGTGGGTGTAGTCATACACATTCATGCTGACTTTGTTTGTACTTTTATTTCAAATAACTCTAGGAGTGGAAAAAATAATGAATCAAGGGCTTTTTTCTGTGATAGTCTAGTTACAGTTCTGCTTGCTGTGGGTTCAATATGAAACTGGTCTGAGACAAATATGAAAGATTGTGTACTTTTAACATGATTATGGATGCACGAAATGGTTGCATCATGTTTGATGGGGGATAACATCCAAAATTAAATTGATCGACAACTTCTTTTTAAATGTGGCATTATATTGTTAAAATCAACATAGTTGAGAATGAGGCCTGCAGACATAGTGGATCTTAAATGGATTTTAGTTTTTATTATCTTTATCATGTTAGCCTTTTGTCAGCAAAATGGGGTCAATTGATCAAACACAAGGTTTCACAAAAAGACTGACCTAATTACTAGAGAAGTTTTTAGTTGATCACCTGTCAATTTGTTCTTTGCCGAGGCAGCATAAGGTATGGACTTGTGATAAATCCTTTAATGCTAGTTGGTGGACAGGGGGAGCCAAATGTTATGGTCATGCACCACAATCTCATGCAAGTAGTAGCAGCCTAATGAGGAAGAAAAATTAATGTATGATTATTGATTCCGCTAGCTTTAAACAAGTTGAGCTCAATGCCACTTTCATGTTATCTGACATGCTAATCACATAGTTAATATATTACTTTTCATATCAGGGATATGTGGCAGACTTCTGGGCACCGTGCTAAGCAGACACCTGTCTAGTATTTCAAACCTATCTGATTATATGAACCTTAGCAAAGAGTAGATATGTTTTTACAAACTGTCAAACTGGCTTGTCATGTTGGCTTGTTATATTTCTTGTCACGTTCTGGAGTTCAGTTGGCTTATGAGCTTATTGGTCTAGTTGTGAAACCTTTATCTATTGCTTGGACGCCTAAAAGTGTAGTTTGTAGCCTTGTATTTTTTTTTCTGTGCATGCATGAGGCAGTAATTCTGTTGTTTAACTGTATATTCAATACCTTTCACTAAGTTTGCTTTAGAAGTAGCACTCCCATCTCTGTGTGTCTGTGCATGTCGCGCCTGCGTGCATCCCCCTCCGTTCCCCCTCTGTGCGCTCACATGCATATGTATGTGTAACATTTTGTCAGATATAAAGTATAGATTCAAAATTTTTAATTCACTTGTCTTCTTTAAAAGTAGCATACCCAGAATTCTCCTTTTGTGCATGTATATTTTCTTTTATGTTTGAAAAAGCAGAGTAAGACCTTTTCCTTTTATTAGTTTTGCTTTGGACTTCATTTAATTGACTCAACGGACAATATCAAATTGGATTTTGGTGCAAATCACATTTGAAAAAAAAATTTCCTAAGTGAGAATTTTGGTGAAGAGAAATTCTTATTCAATCAAGGAAATATAGCCTAATATTTATGCTAGGATGGCCGGCATTCTAGTCCATTTTTCTAGGAAAAATAAGAGGACAATCCCACAAAATTAGGAATCTCAACAAACTAAGAAAGCAACTAATTAGGAATCACTCAACAACTGATCTTATTTATTAGGAAACAAAATAATAAATCCTAATTTACCAGATTATAGAAAATATACAAACTAATCGGCTCCTTTCTACACTCCCCCTCAAGATGGGTTGTATATGTTATACTATCTCAGCTTGGAGTTGAATTCATTGAAACTGATTCTTGGAAGGGCTTTGGTGAGAACGTCAGCAAGCTGCAATCCAGTAGGGATGTAGCTCAGTTGAACTATTTCATTGTTGACCTTTTTTGAAATGAAATGCCTGTCAATTTCCACATGCTTGGTCCTGTCGTGGTGTACTAGATTTTTAGCAATGCTGATGGCGGATTGACTGTCACTGAGCATTTTTATCTGGTCCTTAAAATCAACTTTCAATTCCCATAGTAATCTTTGAATCCACATTCCTTCACAAATGCCCAAAGTAAGAGCATAATATTTTGACTCTACACTACTTCTTGACACCACTGACTGCCTTTTGCTTCTCCATGTAACAAGATTGCCCCAAACAAAGGAGCAGTAACCACTTGTGGATCTTCTTTCAGCTAGTTCTCCAGCCCAGCTTGCGTTTGTATACCTCTATCTCACGGCTTTCATTCTTTTGGAAGAGTAAACCGTGGCCTGGTGTCATCTTCAGGTATCTAAGAATCCGATTCACAACCTCTAAATGTTCCTCATTTGGATCATTCATGTGTTGGCTAACCACACTCACTGAGAATGCAATTCTGGTCTCGTGTGTGAGAGATAGATCAACTTGCCCACTAGTCTTTAATACTGCCCTTTATCCACTTGTACACTCATTTTTTCTTAACTTTAGGTTGGGGTCCATAGGCGTCTCTGCATGTTTACACCTAAGCATGCCAGTCTCAGTTAGCAAATCTAAGATGTACTTTCTTTGGGATATAACAATCCCTGCCTTAGACCGAGCAACCTTCATGCCTAGGAAGTATCTGAAGCACCAAGATCTTTAATTTCAAACTCAATAGCAAGTAATCTTTTTAGTTTGATAATTGCCTCTGAGTCATCTCCAGTTAGAATGATGTCGTCAACGTAGACAATGAGAATAGCAATCCTGCCTTTTGATGAGAATTTCACAAATAAAGTATGATCTGCCTGGCATTGATTGTATCCGTTTGTGACTACTGTTTTGGCAAACCAGTCAAACCAGGCATGAGGTGATTGGTTTAGCCCATACAATGACTTCTTCAGCTTGCACACCTGACGGCTGTTTGAAGAGTTTTCTAGGCCTGGAGGTATTTCCATGTAAACATCTTCTTCGAGATCCCCGTTCAAAAAGGTATTTTGATGTCTAGTTGGTGCAAAATCCAGTCTTTATTTATTGCTAGTGACAACAGTACTCGAATCGTGCTTAACTTGGCAATGGGTGCAAAGGTTTCCTGATAATTGATTTCGTATGACCGAGTAAAGCCATTGCTACCAGCCTAGCTTTATACTTAACTGTAAATATTCACTTGCAACCCACAATCTTCTTCCCTTGAGGTAACTCTGTAAGAGTCCAGGTTCCATTGCTTTCTAGAGCCCTGATTTCTTCCTCGACAACCTTCTTCCATGCTGGATTTTTCAAAGCTTCTTGAATGGAATTGGGAATCTGCATACTATCAAGAGCTGAGATAAATGCTTTATATGATGGCAACAATTTCCCATATGCCACATATCTCTCAATAGGATGGTCTGTACATGTTCGGACACCCTTTCTTTGAGTAATAGGCAAAGCAAAATATCAACAAAAGGAACAAGAGGCTCACGAGTTGAAGAATCGATACCAGTGTGAAACTCTGAAGTAGGAGGCTCCGGTTCAGTTTCTTGACAATCTTTGATTTGAGTGATGTTCTCTAGGTTCTCAGTAGGTCGTCTCCTCCTAGAATAGACATGAAGTTCCTGATAATTTGCACCAAGTTGAGGTTGGGTGGACTCATGGAACCGAGACTCGGATGGTGTGACATTTGGACCTGATGTAGAACTGAGACTCGGATTTGAGGACTCGGAAGAGGGTAAGGAGGCTGGACTAACACTTTGGGGTAAAATATATACGGATTGAGTGTCTTGAAGGATGTCCCAAAGCTGAAATTCCCTCGAGTTTCCCCCCTGAATTGCTGGTTTGGAAAAATAAGATTGGTGTTAAAAAAATGTGACAGCCATGGAATTGTACACCTTCCTAGTAACATGCGAGTAACACTAGTACCTTTTTTGATGTGAAGAATATCCTAGGAAAATGCATTTCACTGATTTAGGATCAAGTTTGGTTCGATGTTGTTGGTGGATGTGAACAAATGATGAACAACCAAAGACTCTGAGTGGAAGATCAGAAGAAAAAGAATTTGCATGAGGGAAGGCATGTAGGAGGACTTGACGAGGTCTTTGAAATTGTAGCACTCGACTCGGCAGGTGGTAGTAAGAATGGCTTCCCCCAGAAGTGTTTAGGCACATGATTAGTAAACATGAGTGATCTAGCTACCTCAAGTAAGTGTCTGTTTTTTCTTTTGGCTATCCCATTTTGCTGAGGGGTGTCAACACAAGAACTCACATGAATAATTCTTTGTTTCATGAAATAGGAACCCAAAACTGATGTAAAGTACTTCCTGCCATTATCGGTCTTAAGAACCTGAATTTTGCTTTTGTACTGGGTGTGAATCATGGAATAAAAGGACTTGGAAGATTTCCCCAGTTTTAGATTTTTCTTTCATAAGAAATGTCCAGGTGGTTCTAGTATGATCGTTTATGAAAGATATGAACCAACGAGCCCCATTAATATTTTTCACTTGTGAGGGTCCCAAATGTCACTGTGAATTATAGAGAATGGATGTGAAGGCTTATATTGAATGCTAGGATAAACATGCCGAGTGTGCTTTGCAAGTTGACATATTTCACAATGGAAAAACTTGGAATTTTTATTGATGAACAAATGAGGAAACAACTTTTCAAGGTACACAAAATTTGGATGACCAAGGCGAAAGTGTCATAACACGACTTGACTCTCATTTGAAACAGAAACAGAATTAGAGACAGAATTAGAAATAGACTCAGAAACACAACTTGAATGAACTTGTCCATGTAGAGGAGAGTTCCCTTTGAGCAAGTAGAGACCACTACACATTTCAGCACTGCCAACTACCTTCCCCGAATCTGCTGCCTGAAATTCACAAAGATTTGGATAGAATTTAGTCACACAGTTCAAGTCACGGGTGAGTTTACTAATGAAAATCAGATTGCAATCTAAATTTGGAACATAAAGGACAGATGAGAGAAGGAGGTCCTTTGTCAATTTGATTGATCTGATTCTTGCCACTTTTGAGAGTGATCCATCTGCTATTCGTACTGTAGAGGGACTTGAATATCGATTGAACTTGTGGAAGACATTAATATCTCCGGTCATGTGATCCGAAGCTCCAGAATCAACTATCCATGGTCTTAATTTTTGCTTTCCGCAATATGAGCAAAAGAAAATGTACCTTGATGTATTAGTATTAGCATGCTAGTATGCTATTCGGTAGTGGGTGATATCTATTCGAGTAGTTTTTGCAGTATCTCAATTTGCTCCCTGGTGAACATATTGGTTTCGGTGCTAGTGCTGGTGTTGTCAGAAGTGGCGGCAACACTTGCGCGGCTGTCTTGGTCCTGGCGCGCTTGGTTAGGCCTCCAATCAGCAGACTTTTCGTGTAATTTCCAGCAAGTTTCTTTGATGTGATCAGGTTTCTTGCAATGGTCGCACCACATGGCCTTCCTTTTCATTGCTTGTTATCCTGAGATGAGTTGTGTACACAAAGCTGAGCCTTCAGCAACTGGGGAGCTCATATTTCCTGTCATCATCAGTTTTTTTCTGCTTTCTTCTCTTCTGACTTCAGCAAATGCCTCTCGGATGGAAGGCTGAGGCCAGCTTCCCATGATTCTACCCCTTACTTCATCCAGATCCTTGTTGAGACTAAGGAGAAATTTGAATGTTCTCTTTTAATTAACAATCTTTCTGTATAAAGCTGTATCATCTAGATATTTCCAGGGGTATATTTCAAACATATCAAGGTGCTGCCAGTACCGGGTTATTGTGTTGAAATATTGAGTGATAGTCATCTCCCCTTGTCGCAGAACATGAAGTCGAGTTTTAATTTCAAAAAGTTCAGAGGTGTTTTCGGAGCTGGAGTAGGTTTCTTTTGCCGCATCCCAGATTTCCTTGGCTATTTTGTAGAGAAGAAAATTTTCTCCAACATCCCGTGGTCATGGAATTTATTAGCCATGACATGACCATGTGATTTTCAGTCTTCCACGTGCGATACTTAGGATCTGTTTTCGTCGGAGCAGGAACCTCATTGGTGAGATAATCATCCTTACCTCTACTAGAAATATACATAAGGACGGATTGTGACCACTGAAGGAAATTGTGGCCATTGAGTTTGTGACTGGTGATAGGAAGAGGTGAATTTTCGATGATATTGGCTGAGGAATTTTCAAAGTTACTAGCTGAGGAATTTTGGTCGTGTGTGGAATTGACTTCCGAGGAGGTGGTTTGTGTATTCATGACGTATTTTGTCATAGTGAGAGATTAGCAATGGAGTGGATTAGGGTTCAGAGTCTAGCTCTGATACCATTAGAATTTTGGTGAAGAGAAATTCTTATTCAATCAAGGAAATGCAGCCTAATATTCATGACGTATTTTGTCATAGTGAGAGATTAGCAATGGAGTGGATTAGGGTTCAGAGTCTAGCTCTGATACCATGAGAATTTTGGTGAAGAGAAATTCTTATTCAATCAAGGAAATACAGCCTAATATTTATGCTAGGATGGCCGGCATTCTAGTCCACTTTTCTAGGAAAAATAAGAGGACAATCCCACAAAATTAGGAATCTCAACAAACTAGGAAAGCAACTAATTAGGAATCAGTCAATAACTGATCCTATTTATTAGGAAACAAAATAATAAATCCTAATCTATCAGATTACAGAAAATATACAAACTAATCGGCTCCTTTCTACACTAACATTTAGGAGTTCGCATATACGCTCTCTCAATTCACTGTTGGATTGTGGCAAACCAAGTTTTCTAGTGTTACTGGATTGCTGACCACTTCTGCATGTAACAATTTTGTTAGAGCTCAGGTGGATCATGGACTGACCGTTTTCTCCTTGAGTTTGAAATAAGTTGTCCAAATTCAGCTGAACTGTTGGAAATGTTAGATGTTATTTTGATTTAAATACTTCCAAAACAAATTTTCATAGTTGGTAGCTGGCATCTGTCCACATGAAAAATAAAATTTTGAGAGAGTTTGGAGATAAATTTTCAGTTTGTATTAGACAGAAAGCATATTGTGTGGACCAGCATATCAGCTCTCGTACTGTCAGGATCACAGGCTTCCGCTGAGGAGTCTGTATGAGGTTACAGCTCATTGGTAAGTAACAATGAGAAATCATGTGTAGGAATGACAAATGCTTTTGATCAGCTACCAACTCAGGTTTCATTGGAAAATGGAGAAAAATAAGAAATGACACCTTTGCTTTGAATTCTCATGCAGTTATCATTTGACCTTATTTCGGTTCAATCCACTAATACGAAGTTGTTGGTTGGATATATGGAAGAGTAATTTATAAAAGCAGAAATGGATATAGCATGAAGATCCAATGAAAATAGCATTCAGGAACATACCAGAAATGAGTTGGACATATACTTCTGATCCTTTTGCATGCGGGCATTTTGATATCTATCTTATTCTTGAATCTCTAGTCAACATACTTGAGTTTGTTGTTATTGCCTTCAGATCTTGGAAACAAACTATAGTTGGCTTATGATTATTTGAATAGTGGGACCAATATCTAATCTCATGATTATTTGAATGTGATAGTAGCATCTTCCTGGATGAAAAAAAGCAAGCAGCTTAAATTCTATCATTACTTTTGTTCTCTTTTCTTTTTTGGTTTCTCCATACACTTTCTGCTCCAATGCAATATGTTTGCTGGCATATCTTTCCAAATTATTATTTATTTGAACATCAAGTGAATCAACATTCGGAGAACAAGATTTCTCAATTATTCTTTCTTGTATTTCTTTCTTTTTTATTGTGTCTTTCTCTAGCTATATACATTTCTTCCTCCTCCATCATTTAATATAAAATCTTTCACCCTTATGATCCCACTGTCATAACTCATACGAAAGCAGAGTGGGTTTTTGTGATTGAAATATTTTAGGGATGAGCTAGTCCAGCCAGACCATGAAATTTTTGTACTTGGGTTAATAAGTTGTGACTATGGTACTGCAGTTGTTGGGTTAACTTCATGTCTCATGCCTGCAATTTTTGTTAAAGGCTATACAGTTTGCAGTCTCAATCTAATTACCACGCATTTAGTAATTTTATTTAGCTCCTCTGTTAGGCAACTGTTTCAATGTTCGGAGGATATATTGGCCTGTACTGAAATTTGCTACGTAGGTTTTATAAGTTATTGTGATTACGGCACTGGTACTCTTGACTTAACATCTTGTCTCATGCTTTGTACAATTTAATTAAATTCTATACAATTTGCAGTCTCAATCAAATTATTTATATACTTCATCAGTTTGGGTGTTGTTTCCAATGTTTGCATGAATTCTTGACTGTACAGTTTTTTGATGATTCAGGTAGCTAAAGTCATAGAAGTTGCTCCTATTCGTGTATATGAAGTTGCCACATTTTATTCAATGTTCAATCGTACAAAGGTGAGTACTGATTACCTTTAACACACTTTCATTTCCGTCAATATTGCTTCATAAAACTCGTAGAATTGCTTTTACACGATATTTGCATGAATGTGGATCTCATCACGCCATCATAACATAAGCATGGGGCTGGAAAGTGCAACTATAAAATTATAGAAAACTTGACCAGATTATATGTTCAAGCTGAAGTCAGACACTTGTACTTCATGCTAATACTTGGGCCTTTTAGACGATGAGGTGAAAGATACTTTGAAATTAGTAGGTTATCTGGCAATGGGGAGCCTACCTTGTGGATAGTAATGTCCGAAACCTTGAAGCTAAAAGACCTCAGTTCAAACTTCTTGTGGACTAGGAATTTAATTGAAGATTCTTGCAGACTGGTCTAGCCAATAATACAATGCAGAATATTTCTTGAGGTATAACATGCCATAAATAAGTCCAACTCCCTCATTCATTTGATGTATGTTTCAATAATTTATTGTTTTCAAAGGTTGGTAAATATCACTTACTGGTCTGCGGAACAACACCTTGTATGATACGCGGCTCACGTGAAATAGAGGAAGCACTACTAAAACACCTTGGAGTGAAGCGCAACGGTAAGATTTTTCATTAGATGGACCCTTTTCTGTCCCTCCTAACCTTGCTGTCTTTATCTCAAAAATCTAGTCATTCTGTAGCCTTTTGATTTCCCTTCTAATGCTATTTTTATATTCTTTTAATCTGCAGAAGTAACAAAGGATGGCATGTTTTCTGTTGGGGAAATGGAATGCATGGTAAGTTCGATGTAGCTTTTCAACTTTATTTATTTCTTTATTAATTGAGAGTTGAGACAAATAACTGCAGTAGATGTACAATGTCTTCTACTATTGGTAATAGTTATAATGAAGTTGTTTCTGCTGCTGATAATTATACCAAAGCTGTTCTAAACAAACTGCACTGTGAACCTATTGGAGGGTCATCTCACTGAGGGATATAGATCTGATTCAACGTTTGGAGAACCTTACATTTTGAAAATGCGAAGCAGTACCTCGCATACAACATTTTAGTTTCATATGACTTGTTCAGTTAACGCATTCTTGTTGAAGTATTTGTAATGTTTCCTTTTCAGGGTTGCTGTGTAAATGCTCCTATGATAACTGTGGCTGACTATTCCAAAGGTTCAGAAGGTTACACATATAATTACTATGTGAGTTCTTCGTCCTGTTAGAGTTTTGAAGTACCTAGCGAATGCCTTTACTTATTTAAAACATGGAGTCTTCAAAGTCTTACTGGTTCTTCTTTTTGGATTGTCATTATTTTAGAGTCTTACTGAATGTTTTAGTAACCGCTAGGCGCTTCTAGGCGTTCGTCAGGTGCCTGAGTAGACGCATAAGTGGCATGTAGGCAGTATTTTTAGCACCAAGGGGGAAGGATATTTTTTCAAAGATTCAAAATCTTATCCTCACTGTTTTATCTGAGATGATCTTGAAATCTGATCCAATCCATTTTAACCTTTTTAATCTGGACCTGTTTTCTTCACCCTTTTTTATGCTTAAGCAAGCAATAAACACCTTTCTGCCATGGTAAGTCCACATAAGCAACCTATGCATGCCAAGGCGCTTACCAGAATTAAGTGGGTGGGCTCTGTTATGCCTTGACAGATGCCCAGAGCCTTTTTAAAACAATGGTCTTATTATCCACATATTGATGTACAAGCTTCTTACTTGAGATAATGCTCTACCATGTTCCACAATTTTTTACTGACAAAACTTAGGGTTCAATTATTAGCTGTCAAAATGTAGAGGAAACTGGAGCTAAGACATCCTAGCACGACAAACAAACAAGCTTGGCTTTGTAATCCCTTTGCTCGTTACTTCTCTTATCTGGTTAATTCTTGGCCAGTTCTCCTCAGCACCAATTTCCAAATCTGATAACAGAAATTTGCCTGTTCCATTAGCTCCTTCATCTGATAAAAGATTTCTCGACTTATTTTAAAAATGATGTTTAGTGGAATGTTCCTCCAATTTCTATCCTGGATTATTTGTGAAAAAGCTGCTTGCTGATAGCCTGCCACTGAGTTAGCTCCTATGGTCTAAAGACAAATGCATGATACAACGTATCAACTCAATTTTTGATTAGGAAACCTTCTGACATAACAAGTCTTAATATGGACCCGAACTGGCCAACTGTTTGCAATGCCTTGCTTTTCCAACTGCAATTTGTTTATTGAATACGATAAATAGAAACTGGTTGTTTGTGGGTTTATATCTTTCATCTTCATGAGCACTTTGGACCACATATCATCTCTCGAACTACTATTGCTTAGGTTCTTTTAAAGTTGTTCCTTTCAAGGTAGAAAACTAAAAGATCATTGCTTAGGGACCCATCCTTTCCGAAGGAGTTTCATATTAAACCTTCTACTTACTGGTAAGTGTTTGTTTTGCATGTCAAATGATTGCATGACAAATGATATGTCATACATATCCATTGCCACTTGTGAGGCTATTAAAGATATGATGCAGTCTTTCTTCTTGTCCATCTCTATTGGTAGGATTTGTTCTAAAACTTTCTTATGAAATATGGCGGCTAGAAAATCCTATCTGTAAGTTTAGATTGATACTGTGGCTTTGTGAAGGGGTGGGGTTGGTGTAGGATTGAGTCATTCTTCGTTACTGGGTATGGGTTCCTTTTGGGTTTTCTGGATCAAGGTCTTCAAGATTCTCACTTGAGCAGTATTTTTCTCAGGGTCATGTTTAAGCTTTTGCTTGGTCCTACTCTGATCTCTTCTTGTTGATGACAATTGGGACATGTAATGATGAAAAGGATGCAATTATGTGCATACAGTGGCGGATCCAAATTTTTTTTTTTTGTGTGTGTTTTTTTTTTTTT